TAACACTACATTTTTAAACCTACCCCATACCTCTTCGACCCCCTTGCCTTGCTCTCATTAGCCATTATCCTCCAATAGCTGTTTATATCTTACCCTAACTGCCTCCTCTTTTAGTTTATAAACCTTCACCTCTCTCTTCCCTGATGCTTCTATTCTCCTTGTATCCCATCTACCTTTTACTCTCAGTGTAGCTACAACTAGAAAGTGATCTGATATATCTGTGGCCCCTCTATAAACATGTACATCCTGAAGTCTACTCAACAGTCTTTTATCTACCAATACATAATCCAACAAACTACTGTCATTTCGCCCTACATCATATCGTGTATACTTATTTATCCTCTTTTTCTTAAAATATGTTTAATATGTTTAATAATAATACATATAATAATAATAGTAGAATATAATACAACAATAATATGTATGGAATGTATGAAAGTATAGTAGTACCAACACTCTTATATGGGTGTGAAGCTTGGGTTGTAAATGCTGTAGTGAGGAGGCAGTTGGAGGCAGTGGAGATGTCCTGTCTATGGGCAATGTGTGGTGTAAATATTATGCAGAAAATTCAGAGTGTGAAAATTAGGAGAAGATGTGGAGTTAATAAAAGTATTAGTCAGAGGGCTGAAGAGGGGTTGTTGAGGTGGTATGGTCATTTAGAGAGAATGGATCAAAGTAGAATGACATGGAGTGTGTATAAATCTGTAGGGGAAGGAAGGCGGGGTAGGGGTCGTCCTCGAAAAGGTTGGAGGGAGGGGGTAAAGGTGGTGGTGTGGGCGAGGGGTTTGGACTTCCAGCAAGCGTGCGTGAGCGTGTTAGATAGGAGTGAATGGAGACAAATGGTATTTGGAACCTGACGATCTGTTGGAGTGTGAGCAGGGTAATAATTAGTGAAGGGATTCAGGGAAACCGGCTATTTTATATAACCGTACTTGAAACCTGGAAATGGGAAGTACAATGCCTGCACTCTAAAGGAGGGGTTTGGGATATTGGCAGTTTGGAGAAAAATATTGTATATTTTTATACGTATATACTTCTAAACTAGGGTGTTCGGGAGAGGGGTGGGATTAAATTTTGGGGAATCAAATTCAAAATGGGAATTGACACAGTTACTTTTTGCTGATGATACTGTGCTTATGGGAGATTCTAAAGAAAAATTGCAAAGGATGAGTTTGGGAATGTGTGTAAAGGTAGAAAGTTGAAAGTGAACATAGAAAAGAGTAAGGTGATGAGGGTATCAAATGATTTAGATAAAGAAAAATTTGATATCAAATTGGGGAGGAGGAGTATGGAAGAAGTGAATGTTTTCAGATACTTGGGAGTTGACGTGTCGGGGGAAAGGATTTATGAAGGATGAGGTTAATCATAGAATTGATGAGGGAAAAAAGGTGAGTGGTGCATTGAGGTATATGTGGAGTCAAAAAAACGTTATCTATGGAGGCAAAGAAGGGAATGTATGAAAGTATAGTAGTACCAACACTCTTATATGGGTGTGAAGCTTGGGTGGTAAATGCAGCAGCGAGAGACGGTTGGAGGCAGTGGAGATGTCCTGTTTAAGGGCAATGTGTGGTGTAAATATTATGCAGAAAATTCGGAGTGTGGAAATTAGGAAAAGGTGTGGAGTTAATAAAAGTATTAGTCAGAGGGCAGAAGAGGGGTTGTTGAGGTGGTTGGTCATTTAGAGAGAATGGATCAAAGTAGAATGACATGGAAAGCATATAAATCTATAGGGGAAGGAAGGCGGGGTAGGGGTCGTCCTCAAAAGGGTTGGAGAGAGGGGGTAAAGGAGGTTTTGTGGGAAAGGGGCTTGGACTTCCATCAAGCGTGTGTGAGCGTGTTAGATAGGAGTGAATGGAGACGAATGGTACTTGGGACCTGACGATCTGTTGGAGTGTGAGCAGGGTAATATTTAGTGAAGGGATTCAGGGAAACCGGTTATTTTCATATAGTCGGACTCGAGTCCTGGAAATGGGAAGTACAATGCCTGCACTTTAAAGGAGGGGTTTGGGATATTGGCAGTTTGGAGGGATATGTTTTGTATCTTTATATGTGTATGCTTCTAACTGTTGTATTCTGAGCACCTCTGCAAAAACAGTGATAATGTGTGAGTGTGGTGAAAGTGTTGAATGATGAAAGTATTTTCTTTTTGGGGATTTTCTTTCTTTTTTGGGTCATCCTGCCTCGGTGGGAGACGGCCGGCTTGTTGGGGGAGGGGAAAAAAAAAAAAAAAAAAAATTCCAAACTGTTGTATTCTGGGCACCTCTGCAAAAACAGTGATTATGTGTGAGTGAGGTGAAAGTGTTGAATGAAATATAAAAAAAAAAAAAAAAAAAAAATAATAATAATATGTATAATAATAATATATATAATAATGTACTACATATAATAATTATAATAATAGATGGCTTCAAAAGGCTGTCACTAGATGGCAGTGTTTACCACAACAAAGAGGGAGCGGTTGTGGCCGCCTCCACCTGTTACAAAATGACATTCATTCTAGAGTACATGTTTCTATGTTATTTATATTGTTTGTTATTTCATATTAGATTAACTGTGATAGATAAATAAGCCGTATAGATGATATTAGCGAAATTATTCATGAAGTATCTTGTCCAGTCTCCAGACAAACTCTCGTCCACCTCCGACACCACCCATACCACTACATGAATGACACATTTTATTCATTTTAGAGTATATATCAGGTTTCTATGTTATTTATATTATTTATTATGTCATATTAGATGAAGTGAGATAGATAAGTAAGCCGTAGAGTTGATATTAGCGAACTTATTGAAGTACAGAATTCCAATGGAATGGATTAATTGCATTTCAATTAATTTAAATGAGGAAAATTGACTCTGCAAACGAGCAAATCCAGTTGCGAGCAAGGTCATGGAATGGATTACTCCTAAGTAGAGGTTCCATTGTATTTTACTTTATCAAAACTGTTAGCAGTATGTCACATAGATCCTGAATAAAGCACTAATATGCATACTACTAAAAATAAAAACATTAATTGAAGGAAATAAAAATGAATGCTGTTTTAGCATACTATTGCTAGATACATGCATAGGTTTTCACCTTCAGTGCCAGAATGAGCATCCATATCAGTGCTAAAGTAACTACTGCTTAATAAAAGTACCTTAAGTCAGATGCAGGGGATTTAGTCAACATTGAAATTTACATGCATCAAAAGTTTCAACAGCTACCACAATTGCGGAAACAAAGTTGAGAAAGTAATTACTGGGGAAAACAGCCAACCCTGACATACTTCTCACCTCTGGATCCTGATGATGGGTGATGATTGGGGAAAATAAGGATATTGTTAGTTACTCATATTATAGAACAATGTAATTTGCTGAACATCTTGCATAATAATTTAATGATATATTAGGTTATATATTCTTCCCATAATAAGGAGGCAACAACTCACTAAATTAAGAAGTTAACAGATAATAATAACTGAATATTGCATGTGAATGATGTATTAATTCCTATCAGAATATTTATTTCTGAAAGACTTGAATGGGTAAATTATTTTGAAAGCATGCACCACAAATTATAGTACAGCCATGTAAAATTTGATTCCTGTTCAGTTGACACTTAAAATATAATGAAGAACATGATACACAAAATCATAATGACGCGACTGTAAACAAACCATACCACGGGCGGGGTCAGAACCCACGATCAGGCCCAGTGGCTAATGCATCGGTCTGGAGTTTTGACTCTCTGATCGCGGGTTCTAACCCCACCCATGGTATGGTTTATAATGAAGACACTTTTACAGAAAAAGCTTTATTAGGGCAAGGTTTTCAATCCATTACCATCTTTATCGAGTACAATGGAACCCTGGTTGTCATCCAGTCATCATACAATTCAGTTTTCAGCCATTTTTTTCAGAGAAATTTTCCCCCATTTTTGTACATCTGCTTGGAAATCGTCCGTACCAGACACAGCCGCTCATACGTTCGTAACTCAGTCTGCCTTTGTTACTCATAGAGGGTGGTAGTGATGGTAGTAGAGGGTGGTAGTGGTTGTGATGGTGGTAGAGGGTGGGAGTGATGGTGGTAGAGGGTGGTAGTGATGGTGGTAGTGATGGTGGTAGAGGGTGGTAGTGATGGTGGTAAAGGGTGGTAGTGATGGTGGTTGAGGGTGGTAGTGATGGTGGTAAAGGGTGGTAGTGATGGTGGCAGAGGGTGGTAGTGATGGTGGTAGAGGGTGGTAGTGATGGTGGTAGAGGGCAGTAGTGATGGTGGTAGAGGGCGGTAGTGATGGTGGTAGTGATGGTGGTAGAGGGCGGTAGTGATGGTGGTAGAGGGCGGTAGTGATGGTGGTAGAGGGCGGTAGTGATGGTGGTAGAGGGCGGTAGTGATGGTGGTAGAGGGCAGTAGTGATGGTGGTAGAGGGCAGTAGTGATGGTGGTAGAGGGTGGTAGTGATGGTGGTAGAGGGTGGTAGTGATGGTGATAGAGGGTGGTAGTGATGGTGGTAGAGGGTGGTAGTGATGGTGGTAGAGGGTGGTAGTGATGGTGGTAGAGGGTGGTAGTGATGGTGGTAGAGATAACCTCTCCTCCCTCTCCCCTCCTCACCGTCTTCCATACGCCAACAACAGTCTTCAATAAAGGTAAAAGTGATTTAAATGTTCATTTATCCATTTTAATAGTACTTTATATTTATTTCTCGTTTTCTGTATGTGAAATTATAGTTATTCTCTATAAAATGTATTTTTTGTTAATATTTTTGGGTGTCTGGAATGGATTAATTGGATTTACATTATTTCCTATGGGAAACATTACTTCAGTTTTCCTACAAATCGATTTTCGGCTGACCTTCTGGAACAGATTAAAGACGAAAACTGGGGTTCCACTGTACCATAAAACAGATTGAAACTTTGTCCTAATAAAAGCACTTTCTGCAAACGTTTCATTTTCTTGACTACCATCAGTAACACGCTGTTTGGATCCAACTAAGTGTAAAGGACAAAGAAACCATAGATACCTTGTATTTAGATGATACATCCACAGGATGTGGCTGACCTGCAACAATCCAAGGATGTGTCAAGAGTTGCATCACACTGATTCTTCTTTTGGGATCCACTTGAAGCATTGATGCAAGCAGGTCACAGCTACTGGGACTTAACCATTCGGGATTTTCATAAGCACCTGCCTATTATTATTATAATCAAAAAGAAGCACTAAACCACAAGGGCTATACTTTTTTTTTTTTTTTTTTTTTTTCAACAAGTCGGCCGTCTCCCACCGAGGCAGGGTGACCCAAAAAAGAAAGAAAATCCCCAAAAAGAAAATACTTTCATCATCATTCAACACTTTCACCACACTCGCACATTATCACTGTTTTTGCAGAGGTGCTCAGAATACAACAGTCTAGAAGCATACACATATAAAGATACACAACATATCCCTCCAAACTGCCAATATCCCAAACCCCTCCTTTAAAGTGCAGGCATTGTACTTCCCATTTCCAGGACTCAAGTCCGACTATATGAAAATAACCGGTTTCCCTGAATCCCTTCACTAAATATTACCCTGCTCACACTCCAACAGATCGTCAGGTCCCAAGTACCATTCGTCTCCATTCACTCCTATCTAACACGCTCACGCACGCTTGCTGGAAATCCAAGCCCCTTACCCACAAAACCTCCTTTAACCCCCTCTCTCAACCCTTTCGAGGACGACCCCTACCTCGCCTTCCTTCCCCTATAGATTTATATGCTTTCCATGTCATTCTACTGTGATCCATTCTCTCTAAATGACCAAACCACCTCAACAACCCCTCTTCTGCCCTCTGACTAATACTTTTATTAACTCCACACCTTCTCCTAATTTCCACACTCCGAATTTTTTGCATAATATTTACACCACACATTGCCCTTAGACAGGACATCTCCGCTGCCTCCAACCGTCTCCTTGCTGCTGCATTTACCACCCAAGCTTCACACCCATATAAGAGTGTTGGTACTACTATACTTTCATACATTCCCTTCTTTGCCTCCATAGATAACGTTTTTTGACTCCACATATACCTCAACGCACCACTCACCTTTTTTCCCTCATCAATTCTATGATTAACCTCATCCTTCATAAATCCATCCGCCGACACGTCAACTCCCAAGTATCTGAAAACATTCACTTCTTCCATACTCCTCCTCCCCAATTTGATCCAATTTTTCTTTATCTAAATCATTGACACCCTCTCACCTTACTCTTTTCTATGTTCACTTTCAACTTTCTACCTTTACACACATTCCCAAACTCATCCACTAACCTTTGCAATTTTCTTTAGAATCTCCCATAAGCACAGTATCATCAGCAAAAAGTAACTGTGTCAATTCCCATTTTGAATTTGATTCCCCATAATTAATCCCACCCCTCTCCCAAACACCCTAGCATTTACTTCCTTTACAACCCCATCTATAAATATATTAAACAACCATGGTGACATTACACATCCCTGTCTAAGACCTACTTTTACCGGAAGTAGTCTCCCCTCTTCTACACACCCTAACCTGAGCCTAAACTATCCTCATAAAAACTCTTTACAGCATTTAATAACTTACCACCTATTCCATATACTTGCAACATCTGCCACATTGCTCCTCTATCCACTCTATCATATGCCTTTTCTAAATCATAAATGCAATAAAAACCTCCCTATCTTTATCTAAATACTGTTCACATATATGCTTCAAGTAAACACCTGATCTACACATCCCCTACCCACTCTAAAACCTCCTTGCTCATCCGCAATTCCTACATTCTGTCTTACTCTAATTCTTTCAATTATAACCCTACCGTACACTTTTCCTGGTATACTCAGTAAGCTTATTCCTCTATAATTTTACAGTCTCTTTGTCCCTTTCCCTTTATATAAAGGGACTATACATGCTCTCTGCCAATCCCTAGGTACCTCCCTCTTTCATACATTTATTAAACAAAAGTACCAACCACTCCAACACTATATCCCCCTGCTTTTAACATTTCTGTCATGATCCCATCAGTTCCAGCTGCTTTACCCCCTTTTCATTTACGTAATGCCTCACGTACCTCCCCCACACTTACATTCTGCTCTTCTTCACTCCTAAAAGATGGTATACCTCCCTGACCAGTGCATGAAATTACTGCCTCTGTTTCTTCCTTAACATTTAAAAGTTCCTCAAAATATTCTCGCCATCTACCCAATACCTCCATCTCCCCATCTACTAACTCCCCTACTCTGTTTTTAACTGACAAATCCATTTTTTTCCCTAGGCTTTCTTAACTTGTTTAACTCGCTCCAAAATTTTTTCTTATTTTCATTAAAATTTCTTGACAGTGCCTCTCCCACTCTATCATCTGCTCTCCTTTTGCACTCCTCTCACCACTCTCTTTACCTTTCTTTTACTCTCCATATACTCTGCTCTTCTTATAACACTTCTGCTTTGTAAAAACCTCTCATAAGCTACCTTTTTCTCTTTTATCACACCCTTTACTTCATCATTCCACCAATCACTCCTCTTTCCTCCTGCCCCCACCCTCCTATAACCACAAACTTCTGCCCCACATTCTAATACTGCATTTTTAAAACTATTCCAACCCTCTTCAACCCCCCCCACTACTCATCTTTGCACTAGCCCACCTTTCTGCCAATAGTCGCTTATATCTCACCCGAACTTCCTCCTCCCTTAGTTTATACACTTTCACCTCCCTCTTACTTGTTGTTGCCACCTTCCTCTTTTCCCATCTACCTCTTACTCTAACTGTAGCTACAACTAAATAATGATCCGATATATCAGTTGCCCCTCTATAAACATGTACATCCTGGAGCCTACCCATCAACCTTTTATACAGCTGCCTATTATTAAACATATCAGAAGACTGGATGCAAAAGAAGTAAACATTTTATTGAAATATAAAAGGCAATAGTAGTAGCTGGTTTAAAACAGTGACTTTGTGGTGAATTGTCATATGGTTTTTATGGTTGTATTCTCGGTTTCTTGGTCTCATTTGGTAAAATGGAAAATATATTACAGAAAATGCAATGATTCTGATTGGTTTTAGGACTGAAAATAGCTTGAAATTAAGCTTGAAGCAACAGAAATGTTCAATTTTTACCGATGAGCAAGAGTACACAAATCATATCATACATCCAATACATGTCAAATGGCGGGTCTACTATATGTTCATGAATCCGCTGACATTATTTATACAATTATTGCAATACTGCATAACAGTAAATCTATTTTTTTTTGTGAAAAAAATTTTGTAAATAAAAAATAAAAATTGAATTCATGTGTAAAGCCTGGAAATTTAACTAATGACCAGAGAAAATATTATTTTAGTACCAAGAATGCCTGCAATGTTTATTCTAAACCCTACTTAGAAACTGGAATATTTTGAAATTTGTGTGAAATTGGCCAAATTACGAATTTGTGATCACTTTATTGGGTAGTTGAAATAGTTGATAGTGACTTCTTGTGCTCAACTGATAAAATGGAAGGCATACTAGCAAAATAGCTAAGAATCTGGTCGACTGGAACAATGTAATTGGCCTAAAATAGGACTCGAAGTGAGCAAAATTGCTGATGTGGAAATATCACTGAGCACCAAAATTCACGAAAGTGTAATTTTATCAATTTTCGTACTTTGTTTTATTAGCTTCAGAAAAAGATTCTCTACCATTTTATAACAAAAAAAAATAATTTTATATTTTTTAAATTCTTGGACACTGTGGACAAGTTTCAGATCGAGGGTCTGACAGTGTAAGTGTTAATTAATTGATGGTTCAAAGCATATTTAGAGCAGTCTTCATAGTTCATTTGTATATCATCTAAACTTTAATTAAGCTGTCTCCTTGGTTTTCCTTTATCAGTCTTCACTACATTTTTTCCATTTTTGATATTATCAACTGAAATCAAGCAACAATATTTAGGGCTAGTTTCTGAGGTTATCAATGCAGTGACCAATTTTCACAAACTTCACTCTGAAATGCTGCCAGTTTTTATTTGGTGATGTGAATACAAGAATAACCAAATTTTGATTTTCAGTTTTAAATGCCAGCACATCAGGGTAACATTTTCATTACACAAGCTCAAACATACAAATTTCACCTCTGATTATTCAATGTTTTTGGTAAAACATGCAAGAACTATAATATGGGTAAATAAATAATTCATCTTTACAATACACAAACTTTACAAGACAAACCTGAATTTTTCTGTAGAGGATTCCCAAATTTTCATCATCAAATGGAAGAAAGCCACACAGAAGTGCATATAACAACACTCCCATACTCCAGATGTCTGCTTCAGAACCTAAAAATAACAACTGGATTTATAATCTACACAGGTATTTTACAAAGTAATATTACAAATGCACAAGATTTTAAATTAAAAGCAAAATGTACTTTTTTAACACAATGGCCATCTACAGCCAAGGCAGCATGACCCAAAGAAAACACATTCACCTACATTCACTCAGATGAATGGTTCAGAGAACTGACAAGTTGATAAATCAGACACGTACACCACTTGGGTATCTTTAATGAGGAAACGTTTTGCCACAGTGGCGAATGGAGAATGGTGAAGAACAGAAGGAGTTTGAGGTAATCAGTCCCTCAGCCTTGAGTCAATGTGGTCAGTCCATCAATCTTGAGAATACAGCATATGTGCAGAGAAGTAACTTATATACCGTAGGCAGGAGAGGTGCAGCAGTCATAGGTGGTATCGCATTTGTCCAATGTGGAAGTAGGTCATGCCCAAGGGTTAGGCAAGTGAAGAATTCCCTGTATTAAGATTCCAAGATGTTGCTGTGTCAGACAGGAATGTAGATGACTGCTGCACCTCTATGCTGTATTCTTTTCAAGATCGATGGACTAACTACATCGACTCAAAAGCTGAGGGACTGATTACCTCAAACTACTCCTGTTCTTCACCATTCTCCTTTGTATGGACTGACGAAGCCACTGTGTGGTGAAATGTTTCCTCATTAACCCTTTGGGGGCCGACAGGTCCTCTCAGAGACTTGTTCTCAGGGTCGGTCAAATTAAAAAAAAAAAAAAAAAAAAAAATTTCTTATGAAAAGATGGAGAATCTTTTCCCGATCATAATGACACCAAAAGTATGAAATTTGATGGAAAACTTACGGAATTATGCTCTCACGAAGTTAGCGGTCTCGACGATGTTTACGCATCAGCGATTTTGCCCACTTTGAACCCTATATTCGGCCAATTCCAGTGTACTAGTCGACAAAAATCATAACTATTTCGCTAAAACTCCATTTTTTCTATCGAATGAGTACAAGAAACCACCCATTTACCAATTTCAACTATCCAATAAAGTGGTCAGAATTTAGCAATTTTGCCAATTTCATACAAATTTCAAAAGATGTCAATTTCCGAATAGGGTCCAGAATAAACAAGAAAGACATTCCTGGCACTAAAATAACAAGTTCTCTGTTCGTTAGTCACATCCCCAGGCCCCTCTTATATTTCTTTGGCTTTCCACTTTGAATTTTTATTCTTACAAAAAAAATAAGATTTACTGTTATGCAAACTACTGCATTAGTGTAGAAATAGTATAAATAATATCAGCGCACTTGTGAAAGAATATTAGACTCACCAGTTGACGTGTACTGGACGCTTGGCATGATTTGTTTACTTTTGAACTTTGGTAAAAATCGAACATTTCTGCTACTTTGAGCTCAATTTCAAGGTACTTTTGATTGTAAAACCAGTCAAAATCATCTCAATTTCTGTAATATGTCTTCCATTCTATAAAGTGAGACCAAGAAAACTAGAATACAACAATAAATACCATACGAAAATACAGTGCAAAGTCGCTGTTTTAATCCAAAAACACGGTCTTAATCCAAAAACACGGTCTAAGTTTTTTTTTCGTTATGCACTGTGTGCTGCAGGATTTTTTTATACTGCGCACACTGACCACATAGACCCATTCTTACATATGTAGGCCTACCAGCTTTCTCTCACTAAATTTGAGGGCGCTAGAATTTAGGCGTACTAGTACGTCAAAAACCCTGGGTCGTAAGACGTACTAGTACGTCCGAAACCCCCAAAGGGTTAAAGATACCCAAGTGTTGCATGTGTGTCTAATTTATCTACATTCACCTAACTGTAATCTCTCCAGAAGTGTGCTGACATCAGTCAGATTACCCTCCTCCATCATCATCCCCACCCCAACTTTATGTAAAAATAATAAAATCTAAAATTCCTCAAAACCCATAAAACCTGACCTTAGTGCATAACTAAAACTAGGAAGTTGTGACAATGTTAATTCCACAATTAAATTGTGTAGTACATCTGAAGAATAATTAAAAATCAAACACTAGAGAATTTTATTAAATAATAAATGAAATCTTATAATAACGTTATGAAGTTCATTCTTTCAGAATTTAATTATTTTTAACAAGGTAACCCTATGTTGATAGTAGGTTGGTAGACAGCAACCGCCCAGGGAAGTACTACCATCCTGCCAAGTGAGTGTAAAACAGAAGCCTGTAATTGTTTTACATGATGGTAGGATTGCTGGTGTCTTTTGTCTCAAATATGCAAGATTTCAGGTGCATCTTGCTACTTCTACTTACACTTAGGTCACACTACACATACATGTACAAGCATATATATGTATACGCACCCCTTTGGGTTTTCTTCCATCTTCTAATTAGTTCTTGTTTCTTTCCGCTTATCTGCACAAGTGCAAATAACAAGTGAATTTTCTTCCATGTATTAACCTGGCCTTGGTGAGAAATGGCAGTGAAAAAATAGTTCATTGTTCTGTACATTATGTAAATAACTTTCCATCCATATAATATACCTCTGAAATTATCCAGCCTTTTCCTCTTCAGGAAGTACAGTAATGTAATGAAAAATAAATGTCCATTTTCCAAGATACTTTTGTGCTAGAGACTGGTTTACTCTAGTGGTTTCTTACATGGAAAAATTCGTAGTTAGGCAAAGCATTTCAGACAAACTAGAATGCTGCCAAAGTAGAATTTTATTTGGAGAAACATGTTTTATACATGCCTAAGTAGAATCGTCCAGATACAAGTTCAGGGGCAGCATATGCAGGAGAGCCGCAACAAGTTGCTAAATGCTGATCCAGACCACCAGTTGGGTTGGCACAAAGTCCAAAGTCAATCAACTTTAACTGCTGATCATCATCCAGTAACAAATTCTCCTGTAAGAAATACTTTGACATGAATGCATGGTATTTATATATTTGTACTGTACTAGCATAAGGTATGAAAATTTAGGATAATTTCTACAAGTGATAGTTCTTTTCCCTTATACTCATTTTCTACACACTTATTCCATAATTTCAATGACATCTTTCTTCTGATTTTATTTTTATTTTCCCCTCATTTTACTTTTTTGGTCATTACGAGAAATATTTTCACCACAAGACAAGGTAGTACATTTTTTTTTTCTACATTATTTTTTTTTTTAAGCATTGACTATCTCCCACCAAGATAGACCCTCTTTAAATCAAATCATCCTTTGAAATATAACATCCTCTAGCCCTCCTTCAAAGTGCAAGGGCTGTATTTCCCCACCACCAAGACAAGCCTGGCTAACTGATTACTCTGAATCTCTTTATAAAGATTACCATGCTAACACTCCAACAGCATCTGATCAAAGACACACTCACATGCCTGAGAGGACAACTTGTATTACTGTAAACTGTACTAGTATTCATGATAACAGTGACAATGATCCAAGTACAGTACTATAGTGGCAATTATGATTTTTTAAGTCTGTAAATAAAACACATTGGTGTAAAATAAGCAGAATAATGTCTCAATCCTCCTGTGTCATGGTAAGATGCATGTTGAAACAAGAAAATAGTATTTGAAGTGTGTGGCAAGAGCTACTTAAAGCTTGTATAAAAAAAAAAAAAAAAAAAAAAAAAGTTCTATACATTTTTTACTTTTTCCACAACTGTACATGCTGTACACTATTGCAATACAAACCATCAAAAGGGTGGCTAATTCATCATCATGCACAGTTTAAAAAGTAAAATATGCAGATTTCAAAGAGTTAATCTATTTGGCACCTGATTTCAGGTAGTCATATCTGAACACGATCTGATATGCTTGATACCCTTTTGATGGGTTTCGAGAACTTTCCTACTCTTGCAACCCAGCCCCAGGCCAGACTTGTCTAGCGTTTATAAAAAAATATTGTTAATGAGTAAATGGACAGGGGATCAAACCCTGGCGGTAAAAGGTCTAGTGCTTTACAAGTGACAGTATACATGTATAGAAATGCAGATTGAATTGAGCCATGCTCTGCCACGACATGTGTAGAAAACTGTCAATATACTGTAATAATTTTAGCTAGAAAAAACTAATAGGAACACACAGAAAAGGAGCTTACTGGTTTCAGATCTCGATGAGCATATCCCATGTTGTGGACATATGCTACAGCAGATGTGATTTGGCGGAAAAATATTCTTGCTTCATCCTCCTCTAGCCTATCTCTTTCAACTGTGTGTTAAAAAATTAATAAATGAGTGCAGAGAAAAAAAAAATCAAAATAACACCAAAAACTAAATTCATAAAAAATAAAGGAAATACAAATTTCAACAGTGTTGACAACAAAATACTATGCATTAAAACATTTACCTATATAATCAAATAGCTCTCCACCAGGACAGTATTCAAGAACCATGAATATTTTTGTGTCTGTCTCAAGCACTTGGTAGAGTTTACATACATGCTGATGAGCCAGCTGCTTCATTGCTTCAATTTCCAAATAAATGCGTGGTAAATCTTCCTGTGGAAGACAATTTTTTCAGATATTCTCTATGCATTTTACATTTTTTCAGTACAGTATAACAGATACCATGCAAAAAAAGATAAAAATAATTAATGAATAACTGCAGTCTAGAGCCAAATAAAAAATTATCCTGGTTTGCAGTTAAATATGGAATGTTACTACAGTATTAACTATGTAATTACAATAGTATTGTAAACAAAAAATTTCAACTAACTGGCTATATCCCACCGAGGAAGGTGACCTCAACAGAGAAAACAGAAGTTTCTCTTTTACGCAATGTTACTAGCCTCTTGCTCCTGGCATTTTAGTTGCCTCTTACGACATGCATAGCACATGGAGGAAATAAACACGAACTAGTAAGAAAAGAGGAAAACCCAGAGGTGTGCGTGTGTATATATATATATGCTTGTACATGCATGTGTGGCATGACTTTAATGTAAGTAGAAGTAGCAAGACATACCTGAAACCTTGCACGTTTATGAGACTGAAAAGACACCAGCGATCCTACAATCATGTAAAACAATTACAGGTTTCCATTTCGCACTCACTTGGCATGACAGTAGTACCTCCCTGGGCAGTTGCTGTCTACCAACCTACTATCTCTAGTATTGTAAATGATGTATCTAAAACACTTTGCCATTAAATTCTGTATTCTTACAATTTGAGAACTTACTGTTGTTAGATACAGGAATCAAACACTTAATGGCCATATTTCTTTAAATACTGTTCTAATGCTACTACCAGTAACACTGAAATTCATAAGAGAACAGATCTGAACATGGGAAATCCTAGAAGAACAATTTTTACTAAATTTTAAGGTTGCTTTTCCAATTTAGGGATAATGCTTCATGCCAAAAGAAAATGGGTGCCATGGAAATAACAAGAACCCACCACATGAACACAAAAATATAAAGTATGCTTTTTTTTTTTTTTAACAAAGTCGGCCATCTCCCACCGAGGCAGGATGACCCAAAAAGAAAGAAAATCCCCAAAAAGAAAATACTTTCATCATCATTCAACACTTTCACCTCACTCACACATACTCACTGTTTTTGCAGAGATGCTCAGAACACAACAGTTTAGAAGCATATACGTATAAAGATACACCACATATCCCTCCAAACTGCTAATATCCCGAACCCCTCCTTTAAAGTGCAGGCATTGTACTTCCCATTTCCAGGACTCAAATCCGGCTATATAAAAATAACCGGTTTCCCTGAATCCCTTCACTAAATATTACCCTGCTCACACTCCAACAGATCGTCAGGTCCCAAATACCATTTGTCTCCATTCACTCCTATCTAACACGCTCATGCATGCTTGCTGGAAGTCCAAGCCCCTCGCCCACAAAACCACCTTTACCCCCTCCCTTCAACCTTTTCGAGGACGACCCCTACCCCGCCTTCCTTCCCCTACAGATTTATACGCATGCTTTTTTTTTTTTTAACACGTCGGCCGTCTCCCACCGAGGCAAGGTGATCCAAAAAAAAAAAAAAAGAAAATCCCCAAAAAGAAAATGCTTTCATCATCATTCAACACTTTCACCACACTCACACATTATCACTGTTTTTGCAGAGGTGCTCAGAATACAACAGTTTAGAAGCATATACGTATAAAGATACACAACATATCCCTCCAAACTGCCAATATCCCAAACCCCTCCTTTAAAGTGCAGGCATTGTACTTCCCATTTCCAGGACTCAAATCCGGCTATATAAAAATAACCGGTTTCCCTGAATCCCTTCACTAAATATTACCCTGCTCACACTCCAACAGATCGTCAGGTCCCAAATACCATTCGTCTCCATTCACTATCTAACACGCTCATGCACGCTTGCTGGAAGTCCAAGCCCCTTGCCCACAAAACTTCCTTTACCCCCTCTCTCCAACCCTTTCGAGGACGACCCCTACCTCGCCTTCCTTCCCCTATAGATTTATATGCTTTCCATGTCATTCTACTTTGATCCATTCTCTCTAAATGACCAAACCACCTCAACAACCCCTCTTCTGCCCTCTGACTAATACTTTTATTAACTCCACACCTTTTCCTAATTTCCACACTCTGCATAATATTTACACCACAGAGGTAGTAGGTTGGTAGACAGCAACCACCCAGGGAGGTACTACTGTCCTGCCAAGTGATTGTAAAACGAAAGCCTGTAATTGTTTTACATGATGGTAGGATTGCTGGTGTCTTTTGTCTGTCTCATAAATATGCAAGATTACAGGTATGTCTTGCTACTTCTACTTACACTTAGGTCACACTACACATACATGTACACGTTTATTTATACACACTCATCTGAGTTTTCTTTGATTTTATCTTAATAGTTCTTGGTCTTATTACTTTTCCTTTTATATCCATGGGGAAGTGGAATAAGAATCTTTCCTCCGTAAGCCATGCGTGTTGTAAAAGTCAACTAAAATGCCGGGAACAATGGGCTAGTAACCCCTTTTCCTCTAAAGATTACTAAAAAGAATAAGAAAAATTATAAACATGCATTTGGTAAAAATAAAAGTATGTATGAAAGCATGTATATGCTTTCAATTCTAACTAGACTCCCCTCCTCTCTAGAACACATATTGCACTTGCTATCCAAGGCTCACCCAGAACCAGGGAAGTTTCCAGCTGGGAGGATTCCTAGCACAAATGCTCCTCAGCAGTGCTCTCCTAACCTGACACAAGTTAGCTTCACACCTCAAATCCTTGCCACATGTTCTGCTGACAATATATACCTATGCTTACCATATACTCTCTGTAGACTTAAAAAAGCTTGGACTCCAAACCAAGTGTCAATAAACTTTTCCATTTCCATTTTACCATAGGGTCTTTTTTGTCATCAAAGTAGAGTAACATGGTGCTAAGGTAATTATATGAATTTTATATGTAATAATTAATATTATGGCCATACTTTTAGTTCCTTACTGTAAGATTTCTCCCTCTCTCGGGATTATTTCCAAATTCAAATTTTAAACTTTCAACATTTTAAAAGAACAGCATGTCGAGATCAGACTAAAGGTGCCACATACTGTACTCTCATTTCCTATACACTCTCCTCAAACATATTATTCAGCTACTAGTACCTACAATTTATCACACATTCCATTCAGTTCCAGCACTTGCTGTAGCACTTACTAACTTACCCAATGAAGTGCCTTTTCTAAATCCATAAATGGGGCAATAGCTTCTTCTACATGTCTAACTTTTCCTGACTTATTGGTACCTGTTAAATTAAAATAAATGATCTACATATTTTTAGGGCTTTCTAATCAACTGCAATTCTAGGGATGCAACATTACCAAATTTTTGGCCAATACTGATACCATCAAAATTAGCTGATACCCACTGATACTCATACCATCAAAATTAGTCAATACCCACTGATATCAATACCTTGGAACACCCCTAAACAATTCTGCTATAGACCTTAACTGATACAAAGAAACAAGGTGTTGGGTAACAAAGATAACTGAGAGAGAGACTTTAGGATAGTTTGATAAGAGAATGATGGATGATAGACTTTCAAAAATATAAGAATACATATACACAAGTACAAGGGGTTAGAGAGAACAGCCAATAATTAACAACATGCAGTGAAAGAACAGTGGAGAATATATAGAAATCAAATAAGGAAACAGGGAAATCAAACAAGTTAATAATGTGTTCAGAGAGGGATGACTAAAGTTATAAATCAAACTCAACATGAGTTGCCATCTGCTAAATGTGAGACAGAACTACTACAACTACCCTTAACTCTTCTGGCATACAATGAAATGACAGTATATACAATATACAAACTCTTGGTTATTAGCAACAAGGTTATAACTTGCTCTTCCCTATACACTATGGGTAAAATAAGCACCCGCTTAAGTTCACCACAAGATTTCTGAGAAAATTCATGTAATATACACACAAAAAAGTAGTTACTTTGCATTAATATTTTTATGGTAAACTATAACGTACCCCAAGTTGTCGTTTATCCATTATTTTAAGAGCCACTTTCTCTCCTGTTAAAATGTGTGTTGCTAATTTCACTTTTGCAAATCCGCCTGATCCAATAGTTTCATGAAGTTCGTATAGCCCATCCAGGATGTTGGAGCAAGCTTGTTGAGGCATTATGAGGACAATGTTGTCTCAGCCCCACAACCTTCTATAATAGTAATGGAGAAGGACCCCTGATCTTCAATACTCGCTAAAAACCGAGCCTGCAAAAACAACACCATATTAATCTAGTGAAATATGTACATGCAGTGTATTAAAATTATTTTCTTTGAACTTGAAATTGCTGTTCTGAATCACTAGGGATTTCATCATCCAAAATTTCAGCATAACATCTTTAATAAAATATGATAATACTTTGGGTATACTCTAACAAATAAATAAGTTGAGGCCCATTAAAAAACTGACCAAATTCCAAACCTTTCAGAAAAATTTTCATTTGGAGACCAAGTTTTTTAAGTTCAGCCTCTCCTCACCTAACAACGGAGTTCCATTCCTAAGACCACGTCAGTAAACGAATTCATCGCTAAGCAAGGAGCATACTATGATGGTAGTGGGTTTGTGTCAACCATCTTTGATATTGTTTTGTGTCACCTTTGCACCATTTGTAACATTTTTAGTATATTTTTAAATGCTTATACAGTATTTTTTTTATTATTAACACATCGGCCATTTTCCGCTAAGCTAGGGTGGCCCAAAAAAGAAAAACTTTCACCATCATTCACTCCATCATTGTCTTGCCAAAGGTGCTCTTACACTACACTCATAAAACTGCAACATTAACACCCCTCCATCAGAGTGCAGACACTGCACTTCCCATCTCCAGGACTCAGGTCCGGCCTGCCAGTTTCCCCGAATCCCTTCATAAATATTACCTTGCTCACACTCCAACAGCACGTCAACTCCTAAAAACCATTTGTCTCCTTTCACTCCTATCTAACATGCTCACATGTGCTTGCTGGAAGTCCAAGCCCCTCGCACACAAAACCTCCTCTACCCCCTCCCTCCAACCTTTCCTAGGCCGACCTCTACCCCGCCTTCCCTCCACTACAAATTTATAACAAAATAAGAGGAAATCAGCTCTAATATTCATTATTTAGGTATGCATACTGGTCAGAGAGCCCATCCTAAGTCTGAGTCATCAGTAAACAAGTACGTCGTTAAGTGAGGAAAGGCTGTATATAGAGAAAGCAGTGCAAGCAGAGGTACAGTACACATAGTGGGAAAAGCAAGTGATGAGGTGGCATTGTCTGATAACTAGATAGATTGAAGCTAAACAAATCACCAGGTTCTGGCGAGCTGTTTTCAAGAGTTCTAAAGAAAATGTGAGGAGGAACTTAGCAAACCATCAGCTAGTCTCTTCAATGGGTATCGTATTTGATTAAGTGGAAAAATGGCAAATGTGCTACTCATTTACAAAGCAGGAGTTTGGTTTATAATCTGAAGTATAACCTCAATTGTAGAAAGTTGATGAAATCATTAACCAATGATGAAATTCAGAATCACCTTGAAAGATATGATTGAATCAATGAATCTCAGCATTGTTTTACAATTAGTCATTCTTACCCACAAATTTACTTAGCTTTTTTTCTGCTAAGGTATTTGAGGACATATACAATATTGTGCAGGTGGACTTGTTAGGCTTTTAACACAGTTCCTTACAGGAGACTGAAATTAACTAGTGGCACATGGTAGAGGAGAAATTACTTCCTGCGTCAAGGCACAGCTGACCAATAGGCAACAGAATAACAATAACAAAAAAAGGCACAATAGCGTGACTGGAACGATACACAAATAACCCGCACATAAAAGAGAGAAGCTTACGACGACGTTTCGGTCCGACTTGGACCATTGACAAAGTCACACTAACAGAGGTGGAGCAGGACGGCTATATATAGGCAGGAAGAGGTGGTGGTAGTAGTAGTAGTAGTACAAGAGTTGTATATGATACCGACAAGATGAAATTAAGACACATGCACAACACCCGGGCATCCCCATCATAGACGTTTCGCCATCCAGCCAGCCACTGGATGGCGAAACGTCCGCAACAAAGACAACCAGACGCCGCACATATGTCTTAATTTCATCAGTAGTTGTAGTAGTAGTAGAAGAAGAAGAGGTAGTAGTGGTGGTAGTGGTAGGAGTGGGAAAAGGATGAGCCAGTCAAATACAAAGGAAGGGGAGCACTGCAAGAGAGCTAGATGCCCACAGAGGGAGAGCAAGCGCACAGAGGTGCGTGAAAGGGAAGTCGTGAAATAAATGAAGAAGGAACAGAAACACGAGACATGAGAGAGAAAGACAACCCAGAGGAGCAAAGGAAAGAGGAAAGGGGAAGAGGAAGAAGAAACAGAAAAAGAAAAAGAAAAAATGAGGATTCTACTACTACTACAACTACTGATGAAATTAAGACATATGTGCGGCATCTGGTTGTCTTTGTTGTGGACGTTTCACCATCCAGTGGCTGGCTGGATGGCAAAACGTCTATGATGGGGATGCCCGGGTGTTGTGCATGTGTCTTAATTTCATCTTGTCGGTATCATATACAACTATTGTACTACTACTACTACTACCACCACCTCTTCCTGCCTATATATAGCCGTCCTGCTCCACCTCTGTTAGTGTGACTTTGTCAATGGTCCAAGTCGGACCGAAACGTCGTCGTAAGCTTCTCTCTTTTATGTGCGGGTTATCTGTGTAAGGCAACAGAATTTGCATCAATGAGGAGAAGCCAGAATAGAGACCCCATTACAAGAGGTGTGCCACTGGTACTGGTATTGAGACCCTTGCTCACAATCTCCATAAATTACATATATGAGGGAATAAATAGACAAGTTTGCAAATGACATTAAAATAAACCATTAAATAATTTTTGAGGGTGCTGCCTAGCTAAGGATGACCTGGATAGGTTGATGTGGCTGGAGAAGTAACAGGTGCAGAGTATGTGCTTCAATGCAGCCAAGTGTAAAGTTCTATGCTAGGAAAAGAAAATAACTATGGCACTTATAAGATAAACACTGTAGACATTTACAAGCTAAACAATCTAAACAATATGAAAGCAAAAGATTTAATTCTGTTAGCAGAAATTTAATTAAAGCCAAGATAATGATGTATTGTTTGCAATAAAACTAATATATTTGGCATCATATCAAGGTCCTAAATGATTTTAGTCCTGAGAAAAAGCTGCTTATTTCCGGTCTCCATATTACAGAATGGGATATTTTTCCTACAAAGGCATGAATTTGCACTCTTCAAAA